AGAATATCGATAATAGTTACAGCTTCTAATTCTTCACTTCCATTAGCAATTACAACTAATGCCTTCATTGAAATATATCTTTTAGTTCAAAAACTATTTTAAATAACAAAAAATTAAATAAACAAACTAGAAAATTGTTATAAATTAGCAAAATTAAATTTAGAATTTTTTTTTAATTAAAGAAATAAGTCATTGAATAGTCTATGTATGACAATAAAAGTGTAACTGTAGTAATACTAAAGAAAGATGAAAGGCTGTATGAATCTAATGTTGAGTAAGAAAAGTAAAGAGTAAAGATTAAAGAAAGGAAATAAAAAGAATGGTTTGTTTTTATAATATTCTAAGTTATCAATTTTTAATCATTAAAACAAAATCACAAATAAAAAAACAAACATTAGATTTAATATGAATTTTAAGAATATAATCTAATTGTATGAAAGTTACTATGGATAATACATACATTAATACTACTGTATAATAATTTGTAAAGAAGAAATGTATTGGAAAGATAACAACTAATTGGATGATTAAACGTCGTGAAAATGAAAATAAAATACTTGCAAAAATGAAAAGAATCCATTTTATACTACTAGAACGTGTTGAATAAATATTAGGATAATTAATATTTAAAGAATTATCTATTAAGAAATAATAAAAGAGTGTACCATTTATGCAATTAAAAACACAGAGTTGCATTATAATAAATAAAATATGAGTTAAAACAGAAAAAGATTGCATAGATTCTGGTGTTAGTATATCTCGAATTAAATGACAGATTAATATAATAAGTTGTAATAACAATGAATATAATGTTGTTTTTGATGGTGTTGCATGAGTTTTTATACACAAACAATATATCCATGAAAATAATGGTGAAAATAATAAGAAAAGTGTAATAATTCCAAAACTGTTATTATCAAATGTTGCTTCATTACAAAAAGAAAATAATATAAAGAATATTCCAAGAGTTAAGAGGACTGAAGAACCATTAATTAACATAGCAAGTTGGAATGAGTTTAGTGATTGTGTAATATCAATTTTTTGTGGTGAAAACTTACTAATGAAAGATAAAATAATGACAATACCAAAAATAAAGATAGACCTTGTCAACAAAGTTGTAATAAATGAAGAATTATAAATAAATTGATAAGGTACTTCTTTATCTTTGACTTGTAAATAAGAATAATAATATTGTGGTATTATGTCTTTGTTTTCTTCTAATACATAACGCTGATTACCATTTTGATTACTAATAGAATATGGAGTAATTAATACATCACTAAGTTGATACCCATCAGAGAAAATATCAAGGTGAAATTCGTTATTAAGATAATAAATAGAATTCTCTTTATATCCTAGAGGTATACCAAGAACATTAGTATTACTACCTACTCTTATCATTGAAGTTACTGGTTTACCTCCAACATTAAAATACAACCAAGTATCATCATTAATTAATTGTATTAAAGTGGAGCTGTTAACGGTTTTACATTTATCTTTTGAGTTTAGTGGGTAAACGCTGATAGATTTACTAAACATAACGATAAAAGTTTCTTCAAACTGAATACAAGGAATTACCTCTTCAATACTATGTTTGGTTTGTGTCTTAAAAGAATAAGCATCAATAAATTTAACTTTTATTTCATCAAATATTGGTAATGAAGTTATTTGATATGAAAAAAGAAATAAAAACAAGAACACCAAAGATGATCCCATAACTTCTACCCTTTTTTAGTTTTTGTATTTTATTAAAAAAGAAAGAATAATGAACCATTTTCAAAAATAAAATTGACAATCAATCACATTAGAAATCTTCTTCATCAAAATAACCATCATAAAACTGAGAAATAATATCAGATGCAATCTTTTGTATTGACTGAGACAAAGAAAATTCATCAAACGTCAAATTATTAATCAAATTTACAGCATCTACTTCTTCAAATGAAACAGCAATTTCATTTTGTCCTTCATCATTAATCATTTCTTCACCCAATATCAACAACCTTCGTATTCCAATCAATAAGTTCTCAATAAATTGTTCTCGATTCTTTAATTCAATTATAAGCAACTGTGAAATAAAATTATAAACTCCTTCTGTTTGAGAAATATAAGTTAGTCCCATATCATCAACCTTTTCTAAGGCATTTACTAATACCCATCCACACTCAATTTTTAAAGGTGTAGATACAGTTGTAGCTCCTTCAAAAATAACTGATTGAAGTAATCCATTAGAACAGATCATATTTGCAACGTTTAATGTAGAACAAAATACTAAATTGGATAAAGTCCATAATGCTGATCTTATTATTTCATTATCACGTTGATCTAAAATTTTTGCAATAATATTAAGAACATCATTTTCTATTAATGACTGAATGAGAATATCAGATATAGAAGCAATGGAGCCAATACACGAAATAGCAGCAAGACAAATATTATCATTTGTTGATCTGGAGTATCGAATTACAACTGGAAGTAAGTTATTAGCATAACGATAACAATTATCATTATTTTCACATAAGGAAACAAAACCTGTCATTGCTTGTAATACTAAATCAGGATTGTCTTGATTAGAAATATTGAATAAATAATTTATAAATGGTTCTAATTGTTGTTCTGGAATTGATGGTTTAAATCTACAAAAATTACTAAATAACCATGCTATCTTTGATAAAATTTCTGGATCACAAACAGTTGGTACTATTGAAAGAATAAGTTTACCTGACTTTTCAAATACAATATTTCTAGTATCAACAGTTTCTGATGAAATATTACAATAAGTCCATATAATGTCAAGTTGTAATTCAGGTTGATTTAATAATGGTAGAGTTGCTTCAATAATTCCATTGAATAATAATGCATTTACATGATGCCTTTCACAAGAAGAACAATTAATAACAACAAAAAGAATATCTTTTTTAGAATTAATAGGAATATTTGTTTTAAGTAATTCTATCATCTTTCTCATAACTCCATTATTAATAAGTAAGTCATAATAATGTGACTCAGCAGCTTCACTTCGTTTTCCAAGAGCATTACAAATTTTATGTAACATTTGAAGAGTAGAAATAGTTGCTGATTGATTATTTTGTTGTAGCAATGTCATAGCAATTTCAATATCATTGTCATTAAGTCCTATAACTTGTAGTAGTGAATTGTTATCGTCTAATGTTCTTTTCTTTTTTAACATTTCATCCCTCTTTTTTTCTCTTAGTCCATTAAGTCGTTGACTTCTTAGACTACAAGCATCATTGAGATTTTGTTCATTCTTTCTAAACATTAGAATAAGTAATTAAAAAAAATTGAACTTATTAAAATATAAAACCCTATTTTGTTTTTTATTTTCTTTTTTTGTTTTTCTGAAATTTTTAATATTCTAATAAAATTCATCATTTTATATTTCTTTTAAATTATTTTATAATAATTTTAATATTACTTTTCTTTTTAATTTAAAGAACTAAAAATTAATTTAAATACAAGTCTTATCATGGCTGGAAAGTATGTTATTTTTTTCTTTTTATATTTGTTAATTTCTATCATTATTTATTTATATTAACTGTCGATGGTTAACATATAGGAAAGGAAAGTCATTATCTACACAACCAGGAATGTTTGGTGTTGGAACTGCTGCAGGAATTCCAGTGTTTGTTAATTTTTACTATCAAATAACTGTGTTAATATTTATTCTATAGAACACCATATTTTGTTATGTTCCTTTCAATTGGACTTATTGCTGTCGTTATAGTTGGACATATTGTTGCACATATGTTTAGAGGAGATTCTAATCCAACAACGAATTAATTTTCGATTGCTATTTTAATTCAATTCTAAAAAACATTTGTTTTCTTTATTAAAAAAAAATGCTTTACTTGTAAATAACAAAATGTTGTTTCTATCATTTAATTATTGTGGAGCATACATTTTAATTGTTTTATCTACACACCCTGTAAAAAATCTTAATCCTGTTTGATCAA